AAATGGTATATTAAAGTCTCCTTCTATGACTGTAGAATCATCTATTTGTCTTTTTAATTCTGTTATTACCTGGCTTGTGTATTTTGGGGCTCTATCATTGGGTGCATAGATATTTATTATGGTATGTCCTCTTGTTCAATCGATCCTTTAATCATTATATAGTGTCCTTCCTTGTCTCTTATGGTGGTTTTATGTCTTAAAGTCAATTTTATCAGAAATTGATATTGCCACTCCTGCTCTTTTCTGATTGCCATTTGCTTGATATATCTTTTTCAAACCTTTGCTTTTTAGTCTATTTTTGTCTTTGTCTCTAAGGTGTATCTCTTGTAGACAGCATATTGATGTGTTATATTTTCTTATCCAGTCTGCAACTCTCTGTCCCTTGAATGGTGCATTTAATCCATTGACATTCAGTGTAATTATCAACAAGTATGAATTGGTTGCTGTCGTTTTGTTATGTGTTTTTTGGTGGTGGTCCTTGTTTCTTTGTTCCATATAATTTTCTGTGGTGAGCTCATTATGTTTATGAATCATGTTATTATTTCCTTTGTTGCTTTTGTTTTAGTATTTGATAAATATTTGTGCTTGTCCTCTTTTTTATTTTGTTGTAAAGGTTTATCATTTTTCTTTGATATTACCCTGTGATTTATAATTTTCTTTCGAAGTTTAGAATAGTCTGTTCTATCTTTCAATTGTCTTGACTTCCTCACCATTGAGAAGTTCTGTAACTACACTGTTTTTTCCCTCTTTTTGGTTTGTGGTTGTCCTCATTAGCCAATTGATGTCTCTGGTTCCTTGTTTATAGTCTTGTAAACTTATTGTACTTTGGATACTTCTATAATGGGTTACTTTTGGGGTTATGTGATCATGTGTGTTAATGGTTGGTTGTTGTTTGCTGTTGTTGGTTCTCTGTCCAAAGGACTCCCTTTAGCATCTCTTGGAAGGTTGGTGTGGTTTTAACAAATTCCCTTAATTTCTTCTTATCTGGAGATGTCCTAATTTCACCATCATATTTGAGGGATAGTTTTGCCAGGTATATAATTCTTGGTTGGAAATTTTTGCCTTCAGGTTTTATATATACTATCCCATTGCTTTCTCGCCTGCATGGTTTCTGCTGAGAAATCAGAGCTTAATCTTATTGGTTGCTCTTTGTAGCTGACTTTTCATTTTTCCCGTGCTGCTTTCAGGATTCTTTCTTTGTCTTTGGTTTGGTTGAGTTTGATGATGATATGTCTTGGTGATTTCCTTTTGGAGTCTATCCTGTTTGGGGTTTGTTGGACTTCTTGAATGGATATATTCTCATCTTTCATGATATCAGGGAGATTCTCTTCCAACAAATCTTGTGTGTGTGTGTGTGTGATTTGGGTGAAGATTTACAGGGCAAATTCACTTTCCATACAGTAGTTCATATACACTTTGTCTCATGACATTGACCACAGTTTACCACAATGCAACAGCACCCCTCCACCTCCTCCCCACAGTTACCTCTTCCCAGTGTCCATCCCACCATGGGCTCCTGTTCCCTGAGCTGTCTCCCTGTGCATAAGCGGCCCTTCTTTCTCCCATGATTGTTCTCTCGAAGGAGTGTATCTACTTGAGGTAAATGTTCAACTCATATGCCTGTCTTTTGTTTGGCTGGAAACCACAGGTGTGGGTTTGATTCCAGACCCGTAGGGCAGCTAAGGGCCATAGTCTCAGTGGTTCCACCTGGCTCTATCGGTCCAACAAATCTTTGACAATTTTCTCTGTGGTTTTATTTGTCTCTTCCTGTTCTGGAATTCCAATTACATGTAGATTATTCCTCTTGATGTTATCCCACATGAATCTTAGGCTTTCTTCATTTTGCTTTGAACTTTTTTCTGATTGATCCTTTTCCAAAGAAGTATTGAGGTATTTGCCTTCAATCTCACCGATTTTGTCTTCCATTGATTCTAGTCTACTATTTTGCCCATTCAATGTTTTATCTATTTTCTGAAAATTCTATATAATCTTCTGGATTTATATCTGTAGATTTTGTATCATTTCTAATTTTTTATTTGTTTTGTCATTTTGTTCTTGTATTGTCTTTTGAAATTGTTCTAGGGTTTTCTCCTCAATTTTGTCAGTGTTTTCCTTGATCTGTCTCTCAGTCCATTGAAGGTACCTAAGTATAATTCTTTTCAATTCCTTATCGGGAGTTCCAATGTTGCTACTTCCTCAGGGATGTGTTCTGAGTCTGTATCCTTCTTTTCAAAGATCAGGGCTCCAGGATTATCTTCTGTATCAAAAATGTGTCAGTTGGTTTCTCTTTTCTTTGTTGAAGAGGGTCTATGTAGCTTGTCTGCCTATTCTGCCATTTTATTGGAAGTCCTCCTCTTTGACAGTAATTTGATAGTTATTTTCTGTGCCATAGGCTCTGAAAGAAAACTGCTGTTTTCTTGTACAATGTAGTTCTCCTAATCTCTGATACATGAGGTTATGGATTGTCCCTCTAAGTGGGTTGGATGACATAGTGGCTAAGAATATTGGTTCTAGAGCCAGGCTCACAGGCTGATCGCAACTGAACCACCTACAAGCTGTGTATCCATGGCAAAGTCATCTAACTGTATTGTTCTACTGTTTCCTCATATATAAAATGTGGAAGATAATAGTATGTACTTCTTGGAGATATAGTGATGATTAAAATGGATTAAATACTTGTAAAGTACTTAAGACAGTTCACAAGTAGTCAATGAACATTAAAACAAAAACAAACTCATTGCCATTGAGTCGGATCTGATTCCTAGCAACCCCTCCTTAGATTTCCAAGGCAGTATCACTATGGAAGTAGATTGCCCAGCTTTCCTTCCAAGGGGTGGCTGGTGGATTTGAACCTCTAGCCTTCTGGTTAGCAGTCAAGTGCCTTAGGCACTACATCACCAGAGCTCCTGAATAAATATTAGCTACCATTATTTCTGTCACCTGATATTGAGTTGGGGGCAGTGGTAGTTCAGTGATTGTGATACTTGTGTGTCAACTTGGCTGGGCCTGCTTTTGAGTGGCTGGGTGGCTGGATGTAGTTATTCCCCATGATGAGAATGGCAATCAACTCCATGGTGGAATCAGCAGTGAGCAGCTGAGTAGCTGCCTTAGGAATGTTGTCTGCTTCCAGTAAACAAGGAGAAGCTTTCAGAAAGGCCTCTGGAGCTTTTTGGCATGCTTGGACCCTGAATGGAGCCTTTATGCAACCTGCCATGTTTCCTGCAGACTGTCTCTGGACTTGAACTAGTAGTCTGACATATTGTTTGGTAATCTTAGGACTATGCCATTTTATTTGTTGACCTGGGATTTGTCAGCTTCAGCAGCCAGTAGCTGAAACCTCCAGCTTCAGTGGGCCAGGAGCAAGACGCACAGCTGAAGCCCAACGTTGAGGGACTTTCACACAGCCCCTAGAGCTGGCACTTTGAACTCAGATTTCTAGCCTCCTAAACTGTTAGAAAATAAACCCCTGTTTGTTGAAGCCACCTATTTGTGGTGTTTTCTGTTAGAGTCACAAAAGAATGGTAAACTTTTTGCCTTCCATGAGGGAGACCCAGGTTTGATTCCTAGCCAGTGTACCTTATGTGCAGCTACCACCTGTCTGTCAGTGGAGGGTTGCCTGTTACCATGAAGCCATGAAGGCTTCTAGGTTTCAATAGTGCTTCCAGACTAAGAGAGACTAAGAAGAGAGGCCTGGTAATGTATTTCTGAAAATAATAATAATAATTAAAAACCCATACTCACTGCTGTCAAGTTGATTCCAACTCATTGTGACCCCTCCTTGGGTTTCCAAGGCAATATCTCTATGGAAGTAGATTGCCCAGTCTTCCTTGGAAATCCCATGCATTACAATTGTCTAATTTTCAACCGGTCATAGTATGGCACAATTATGGGCAGTGTTTTCTTCTATTGTGCGTGGAATCCCCATGAGTTGGGGCTGACTCCACAACAGGTAACAATAAAAACTGTGAGTTGTTTCAGAGTAAAAGTACAGAAGTAACTTAATGAATGTTATATTATCTGATTTCTTCCCCAGGATGGGGAAGGGCCATTGGTAAAGGCAAATCTGTGGAAATCACCTCATGAAAAAAAATAACATCATGAAGTTTGTGTGGTGACCTGGAAACAACCACATTCCATGGCCTTGGAAGGGGGCCTGCTCTGAGCAGCTGCTGTTCAAATCAAATGCCAGTTTATATTTATAATATACCAGGTTGACAATTCTTTTCCTCCATTTTGTATAAGCTGAGAACCTATGTGGCAAGATTTTGTCTTGAATATTCCAAAGATCTGCACTTCTGTGTTGCTTTCATTTTCCTGAGAGCAGGGGTTTATTTGTAATTATTTGTCATAGTGACAATATGTACATACAGATGATTAACACACTTGGCTGCTAAGTGAAAGGTTGGAGGGTTGAGTCTACCCAGAGACACCTTGGCAGAAAGGACTGGAGGTGTGCTTCAGAAAAATCAGCCACTTCAAAACTTGGCCACGGTGCACAGTTCTCCTTTGACACACATGGAGTCTCCATGAGTCAGAATCAACTCAACTCCATGGCAACTGGTAGGACAGGTTTTGTTTTGTTTGTTTTTTAAGAATAATAATGTTTATCAAAATGTAATATGTACCAGGTTTTATTTTAAGCAGTTTTATAGGACTTAACTCATTTAATTCTCACAACAATCCCATGAAGTAGTATCATATGAATATTTTATACATGAGAAACTGAAGCACAGAGAGGTTAAAGTAATTTGCCCAAGGTCACATAGCTTTCAGATAGCTAACCCAGGATTTGGAACAAGGTAGTAAGGCATTTGAGCTGCAAACCCTCTACCCTTAATTTCTACTCTACTGGTAAGTATGTACATCCTTTAGCATATCTTGAACTCCAAATCTAGAAATAATACCTTTTGAATTAAAGAAAATTTCACCAAGGGGAAGTTTATTAACATCACTTTTGGCTGAAAAGCTGTGATTTGACAATGTTTATTTCTTTTAAACAGACATTAATGCAGGGTGTGCTGGATATCATAAAGATGGAAACGAATGAACAAAAAAGTCCCAATTATGGACTCTTACTGCTTTGGGCTTCTCTGTCTAATGTTGTTCCTGTAAGTATATCAGTAAATCAAGGTTTACATTTTGGTCTACTGAACTATTTTTTTCCTTAATTTTTCTTTCTAGTATTTTTACTTCTTCTTACAGGGAAGAAAAAAAATATAATGGATTTAGTTGTTATAAAACCAAAACTGAATGCCTTATAAAATCTGATAAGGTCACAAAGGAGGCAAAGCAGAGATCTGAAGTGAATTCTGTCCTCTGAAAGATAGCATGTAATAGGCCAAGGGAAAAGCTTGCCCTTTGGAAACAGTTGTGACAGCATTTACTTGTGGACCAACCTTTTACTGGGGACAGAGGTAAAGTGATAGTTCCGGATAGAACTGGCTTTAAATCCAGACATTCCTAGCCATAGCTACAGGATCTCTTGGAGGTAACTTAACCTCCCTGAGCCTCCATTTCCTTATCAGTACAATGGGTGCCAGGGTGGGGTGGTGTACATAAAACTCCAAGCATGATTCTAGGACTTGGGTACTCAGTAAATACCAAAAAAGGAAAGAAAGAAACCACCAAAACTCACTGCCATCAAGTCAATTTGACTCATAGTGATCCCTCCTTGGGTTTCTGAGGCAGTATCACTATGGAAGTAGATTGCCCAATCTTCTTTCCAAGAAGTGGCTGGTGGGTTTGAACTGCCAGCCTTCTGGTTAGCAGTAAAATGCCTTAGGCATTATGCCACCAGAGCTCTTATTTCTCTACAAGGTTGTTATAAGGATTCAGCAAGGTAAGTCCAGCTGGCACCCAATGAATCTTGGTTCTTGGTGTTTCCTGTATCATTCCCTCTGTGTACCATTTCTATTGGCATTCCTTGGCATCTTAGTCCTGTAAGCTTTCCTATGAATGAAGCTGGTAACATTGGAACTCAAACTACTTCTAAAGAGAGCAGAGATTTTTTAGCTGTTCCTTTTAAAAGCAGTTATTAAATAGATTATTGTTGTTGTTGTTATGTGCCATCAAGTCAGACCCGACTTATAGTGATCTCCCCTTGGGTTTCCAAGATGGTATCACTACAGAAGTAGATTGCCCAACTTCTCTTCCAAGGATTGGCTGGAAGATTTGAACTATCAACCTTCTGGTTAGGAGTCAAGTGCCTTAGGCACTATGCTACCAGAGCTCCTATTAAATAGATTAAAGCTCTGAAATTTATCTGCCACTTCCTGCCTAGTGCACACCAGTTTCCTAGGCATAGGCTCTCATATTAGCCTAAGATACTGCTAGTGTTACTTGATCAAGAGAAATCTTTTATATGTATTTGTTTTCTGTGAAACAGGAACACTCAAACTTACTTCTAATGTGAAATGAGATTCTCTCTCTCCCTTTCTCTTCCAATAAATATAAATAAGGAAGATGCTTTGTGTATAATTTGTTCCTCCTTCCCTTTTGAAGGTCTGCATTGTTAAAGGCTTCCTAAGTATTGATAGTCTAGCTTCTCTTTAACATATTATAAAACTTGTTAAGAACAGAAATAGAAATTCTGGCCTCTCTGCTCAAATGTGTGTCAGGCGGTGGAATGTATACATTTCATCTGGTGTGGGTAAGTAAAAAAGAGTCTAATCTTTTCCCCATCTTTGTATATCTCTAATATTGTTCTCTAATTTTTCCTTAGGCTTTTTTTTTTTTTTTTTAAACTGATTATGCCACAGCAAAATTTAAAAAAAAAAAAAAAACCTCCCAAAGTAACAATGAAACAGTTACTCTTGTCAGAAGATTAATTTTCAAGATCTAATTAACAAGATCCCCTGGAAGAAACTATACAAAGCCCCATTGATCCAACACAGGGGAAATCAGTTCTTTGGATTTTGTTCCTGGTGCTGTTCTGAAAGCATTTAAAGCTCTCACTTCAGAAAGGAAGTATCTGATGATTAGCAAAATTTCCATCTTACTTGCTCTTGGTGGTACATCCAAGAGGCAGGCAGCTTGATGTGTGGGCAGAGACCCTGGAAAATCTTTAGAATCAGGTCCACAGTCAAATCCCACTGCTGGTTGACAGTGGGCCAATTGTTTAACCTTTCTGAGCCCCAGTACTCTCATCTGTAAAATGGGATTAATGCTATCTACCTCATAGGATAGTTTTGAGGATTAATTATATGGCTAAGAACTAGAAAGTGGCACATAGTACCTAGCACAAAGCAAGTGCTCAGTAACTATTAGTTCTCTTCCCTTCTGAAAATTCGTGATCTGGTTGCAATCACTCGTGACTTCCAATGGGCCATTAATAATGAACATAGACTGTACTGGCTTTCAAATACTTGATCACTCAAAGGCCTCAGGGTAGGAGTGGCCACTGCTATCTTGATACCTGTGACTTCCCATCCCTGCTGGGAGAGCCACTGAAGGCTCTTCCAGAGGTATAGGTGATAGAACATGTCATATTTTGGTGCCCAGATCATGTCCTTATCTCTTCTTTCCTACCTTGCACTCTGCTTCAAGGCCTATGGGAACTCAGAGTTCAGGCCTAAGATGGGCTTGGTACGAGGTCACTGAAAGGTTCATTTATAAGCTAAGTGACTTTTGTTGGACTGGCCCAAGATATTAACTATAATTTATGAAATTTTTTCTATAGAGAAAAACTGGTCCCTCCTGACAACAGGACCAAAGTACATGAGACAACATATGGCCATTCTTGCTTCTAAGGAGTTTTTCAACTGTGCTTATTCCAAGATGGATTTGTTCATTCTTCTGGTAGTCCACGGTATTTTCAATATTCTTCATCAACTCCAGAATTCAAATGCATCAGTTCTTCTTCAGTCTTCATTATGCTTTTCTATGCATATGAACCTATTAAAAATACTGTGGCTTGTGTCAGGCACACCTTAGTCTTCACAGTGACATCTTTGCTCTTCAACAATTTAAATAGGTCTTTTGCAGTAGATTTGCCCAGTGTAATATGTCATCTAATTTCTGGACTGCAGCTTCCACTGGTGCTAATTGTGGATCCGAGTAAAATGAAATCCCTGACAACTTCAATCTTTCCTCCATTGATCATAATTTTGTTTATTGGTCTGGTTGTGAGTATTTTTGTTTTCTTTATGTTGAAGTAATCCATACTGAAGGCTGTAGTCTTTGATCTCCTTCAATAAGTGTGTCAAGTCTTTACTTTCAGCAAGCAAGGTTGTGCATATTGCAGATTGTTATTGAGTCTACCTCCAATCCCGATGCTACATTTTTCTTCATATAATCCAACTTCTTAGATTATTTGCTCAGCATACAGATTGGATAAATATTGAATAAGGATACATCTTTTCTGATTTTAAACCATGCAATACTTCCTGGTTTTGTTTAAACATATGCCTCTTTGTCTATGTATAGGTTCCTCATGAGCACAATTAAGTGTTCAGGAATTCCTATTCTTCTCAGTGTTGTCCATAATTTGTTATGATCCACACAGTCATATGCCTTTGCATAATCAATAAAACACAGGTAAATACCTTTGTGGTATTTTTTGCTTTCTGCCAAGATCAATCTGACATCAACAATGATATCCCTCATTCCATGTCCTCTTTTTAATCCAGCTGGAATTTCTGGCAGTTCCCTGTCAATATACTACTGCAACTGTTTTTGCATTATCTTCAGCAAAAATTTTCTTGAGTGTGATATTAATGATATTATTAGATAATTGCCACATTCTGTTGGATCACACTTCTTTGGAAAGGGCACAAATGTGGATCTCTTCCAGTCAGTTGGCCAGGTAGCTGTTCCTGATTTCTTGGCATAAACAAGTAACCAACTCCAGTGCTACATCCATTTGATGAAATACTTCTATGGGTATTCCGTCTTTTTTTTTTTTTAGCAGATGGAGCCTTGTTTTTTTGCTAATTCCTTCAATGAAGCCTAGACTTTTTCCTTTAATACTCTTGGTTCTTGATCATATGCTACATCCTGAAATAGTTGAATGTTGACTAATTCTTTTTGGTACAGTGACTTTGTGTATTTCTTCTATCTTCTTTTGATGCTTCCTTTATTGTTCAATATTTTGCCCATAGAATCCTTCAATATTGCAACTTGAGGTTTGAATTTTTTCTTCAGTTCTTTCAGCTTGAGAAATGCCAAACATATTTTTCCCTTTTGGTTTTCTAATTCCAAATCTTTGCACATTTCATTATAATACTTTACTTTGTCTTCTTGAATTGCCCTTTGAAATCTTCTGTTCAGCTCTTTTATTTCATCATTTCTTTCATTCACTTTAGTTAGTCTCCATTCAAGACCAAGATTCAAATGTCTTCTAGCATCTTTTCTTTCTTTCCTTTTAAATTACATTTTGCTTTCTTCATGTATGATGTTCTTGATGTCATCCCATAACTCCTCTGGTCTTTAGTGATTGGTGTTCAGTGTGACAAAGCTGTTCTTCAGATTGTCTCCAAAATCAGGTGGGATATAATCAAGGTTGCATTTTTGTTTTTATGGACTTGTTTTAGCTTCTTCAGCTTCAATTTGAACTTGCATATGAGCAATTGATAGTCAGTTCCATAGTCAGATCTTGTCCTTGGTCTGTCTGATGATACTGAGCTTTCCCATAACCTCTTTCACTGATTTGATCTGTCAATTTGATTCCTATATATTCTATCTAGCAAGGTCCCATGTACACTTGCCTTTTATGCTCTTTTAAGAAGGATATTAATATTCATGTCATTGGTTCTGCAAAACTCTATCATGTGAACTCTGGCATCATTTCTATCACCAATGCCATATTTTCCAACTACTGATTTTTTTTTTTCCAACTATTACATTACAATAACCAGTACTTAACAATACATCTTGGTTGCATGTTTGGTCAATTTCAGACTGCAGATATTAGTAAAAATTTTCATCTCTGGCTTTAGTGGTGGGTGCATAAATATGAATAATGGTGGTATAAACTGGTCTTCCTTGTAGGAGTATGGGTACTATCCTATTACTAACAGTATTGTACTTCGGAGCTCTGGTGGCATAGTGCTTAAGGCACTTGACTGCTAACCAGAAGGTTAGAGGTTCAAACCCACCAGCCACTCCTCAGAAGGAAGGTTGGGCAATCTACTTCCATAGAGATACTGCCTCAGAAAGTCAGGGAGGGGTTACTGTGAGTCAGAGATGACTCGACAGCACATAACAACAACATTGTACTTCAGGATAGATCTTGAAATGTTCTTTTTGACAATGAATGTGATACCATTGCTCTTCAACTTGTCATTCCCAGCACAATAGACCATAAGATTGTCCAATTCAAAATGACCAATATCAGTTCATTTCACCTCACTAATGCTTAGGATATCCATCTTTATACATTCCATTTCATTTTTTGACAACTTTCAATTTTCCTATATTTGTATTTCATACATTTCATGTTCCAATTATCAATGCATGTTTGCAGCTATTTCTTCTCATTTTGAGTCATGCTTCATCAGCAAATGAAAGTCTTGAAAGCTTTACTGCATCCATGTTATTAAGATTGACTCCGCTTTGAGGATGCAGCTCTTCCCTAGTCCTATTTTGAGTGCCTTCCAACCTGAGGGGGTCATCTTCTGGCACTTTATCAGACAGTGTGTCACTGCTATTCATAAGGTTTTCAGTGGCCATTTTTTTCAGCAGTGGACTGCCACGTCCTTCTTCCTTGTATGTCTTAGTCTGGAAGCTCTGCTGAAACCTATCTACCACCACTCACCTCTGCTTATTGTACTGTTGTGGTTTATGTGTTGCTATGATGCTGGAAGGTATGCCTCCAGTATTTTAAATACTGTTGGGTCATCCATGGTGGCATATGATAAGGACTCCATAAATATTTGGTAAATCATATTTGAATTGATGAATAAATGATGCTGAAGAATATATTCAATTCATTTTTTCTGGACACAGAGAGTTAAGAGCTTTCCTCCTTTTCCCTCCTCACCTCTGTTCTTCCCTCTCCAAAACAATGGAAAGGCATTTTGATTGCTGCCTCTGCAGTTCAATGAGCCAGCTGGTCTTTCTCCTTTTTACCCAGCCCTAACTGTAGACTTGCCCTTTTTGGCAAAGTACTAATTGGTCCTGTTAGGGCAGTTTTTAGCTCCTTTTCCAAATTTAGGTAGACAAAAACTTCCAAGTTACTTATTCTTGTTTGTTGATTTGGTCATGTAGATAAATGTCCTGTTGATTCATCTTTTTTTTTCTTTTTGTGTCTAAAGGCCATAGTCTTGGGGGTTCTACCAGTCTCTGTCAGACCAGTAAGTCTGGTCTTTTATGTTTTGAATATTCAAATTCTTTTTTCTTCCTTTCTTTTTTCTCTCTTTCTCTGCCCAGGAATTTCTATTGTGATCCTGATTGGAGTGGTAGCTGTGCCCCATCTAGTGCTTCTGGTCTCAGGGTAGTAGAGGCCATGGTTCACACGGTACATTAGCCCTTTGATTTTCTTCTATATGCCTTTTCTTTCTTTTTTTAAAGAAATTTATTTTATTGAGTAGGAAATAACATAGTTTTAAGAAGATTAATCTGTTAAGAAAAGAGGCATTAAAAATGATAACTAATGCCACTGTATAGCCATTTACAGTTGAGTTGAGTTCTTGTGTTTGTCGTAAAAGTAATTCTTAAGTAATTTAATGAATCTCTAACGCTCTAATGAAGTTCATAAAACTCTGAACCTCTCTTTTGAGTAACTAAAAATCTATGTGCTATCACTTAGATTTTTTCTCCCCAGTATGAACTCTGACTCCATAAATAAGATGAATTGAGAATGGACCAAACCAGACTCACTGCCATCAAGTCATTTCTGACTCATAGTGAGCCCCATTGGGTTTCCAAGGCTGTAAATCTTTATAGAAGTAGATCACCCTGTCTTCCTTTCATAGAGCAGGTGGTTGGTTTGAACTACTGACCTTCAGGTTAGCAGTCGAGTACCTTATCCACTCCACCACCAAACTCACTGCCGTTAGGTTGGTTCTGACTTATAATGACCCCATCTTGGGTTTCTGAGGCGATATCTCTGTGGACATAGATTGCCCAGTCTTCCTTCTGAGGAGTGGCTGGTGAGTTTGAACCTCCAGCCTTCTGGTTAGTAGTCAGATGCCTTAGGCACTACACCACCAGAGCTCCTTAATTGTGAATGGAGTGGTTATTAATTAAATCAAATAACTCTACATTCTCACGTGCAGATAATTGTAGATAGGGCCTGAATGGGGAGACAAGAGAAGGAAACATGTAACATCAGCTCTCTGAAAATTTGGTTTATGTGTGAAAATGAACTAGGTGATCTCTGGGGTAAATCTTTCTAATCTGGACAATTGTGCAAAAAGAGGGTCTCTGGATGGTAAAGGTCTTGGTTCTCCTATTCACCTTGTTATGTGTAAGCAGTATCATATTTAATCTTAAATATCAATTTAATGTCACAGAGGAGAGTGGGGACAATGAACAGGATTTAATTTAGGCATTTCCTTTCGAACAATTGTTCTCCCTCTTTTGACCACAGAGGGGAGTACTGGGGTTACTTAAAGGTACATAATGTTGCTCACACAAGAAGCAAAAAGACTTAAGTTACGTAGGGTATCTTCTGAGTCATTTCAAGACTGAATTTCTTACATTACAGTGCTCTGACAATAAATGTTTACAGAAAAAGTGGAAGGGAAACCCCAGCTTCTTTTAATGATTTTATATAGTTTTCCTTTATTGTGTAAATAAGAAAGGAAAATTAATTTTTAATGTGTGTAGCATTATACATTCATACCACATTTAAGAAATATATGAAAAAAATTTATTTGGACAAGAGAGAAGACTCTCAAATATATTATGTTCAATAACATCTAGGTCTGAAAAGACCCCATTTTGATTCTGAGTCCTGTCATAATTTGATTTATGAGATTTTAAATATGGGATAATTTGTTGGGCTGATTTAAAATAACCATGTTTCATTTGCAGTCTATATGATTTGCTAACTCCTTTGTATTTTAAGGAAGGTAAATATTAAAAATATTAATATTAATGTTAAATATTTGTCTTAGATAAATGTTCTAAGTGTTATAATTTGTTGTTTCTGAATTTTAGTGTATGGTATTTTATTGCTCATTAGTAAAAGAATATCCCACTTTTTTAGTAAAATGTAATTTAACATATCTAAACAATATAGTTGAGCCATAGTGACAGAATAAAATTTTGAATTTGACCTCTTAGTGATAAATAATAAATAACTTAATTATTTTCAAAGATGCCCTTTAGTAACTTGCTTCTAGAATTAATTTAAACATTTTATGTTTCTTTTAAATGTTCATGGCTAATACCCAATTTAGGAGTTCCTGAGTGGCACAAATGGTTAAGTGCTTGGAAAATTTGGTGGTTCAAACTCACACCAGAAGTGCTTCTAAAAAAAGGCCTGGTGATCTGCTTCCAGAAAGTCACATACAGCCTTGGAAAGCCTGTGGGGTACAGTTCTACTTGGGCACATGTGGGGTCTCCGTGAGTCAAAGCCTGTGGGGTACAATTCTGCTCGGACACATGTGGGGTCTCTGTGAGTCAGAATTGACTGGAGGGCAACTAAATATGCTTTTGTTTACTTTCAAAGAAGTTCATACTTTGACATGTATTTTCCTTTTTTAAGGTCGCGGTTTGGACACTTGCATTTGTCCTTTCACATCCCGATATCCACAAGACTGTTATGGAAGACATATCCTCTGTGTTTGGCTCACCAGGTACTAATCCAGAATGAAATTACATAACTGAAGACATATCTAATAATGTGTACTTGTCATTTTTGGCTAAACTAAATGCTCATAATTAAATAGAAATTTAACATAATTCATGTTGTTGTTGTTGTTATGTGCCATGGTCCTGACTCATAGCAACCCCTCCTTGGGTTTCCGAGGCAGTATCAGTACGGAAGTAGATTGCCTAACCTTCCTTTCAAGGAGTGGCTGGTGGGTTTGAACTGCCAGGCTTCTGGTTAGCAGTCAAGTGCCTTAGACACTATGTTACCAGAGCTCCTAACATAATTCATAGTTCAACATAATTTGTTAAATGTTTCTGGATATAAGTCACCCAGGTTGAATCCTAGAATTTAATAACTGTCAAGGATGTTAGAAGTCATCTAATCCAATCCCCTTATTTCTGAGTCCTAAATTTACATACATATCCAGGTCTTTTCCTTTGAATCCTTTAGCCTCCTCACCTCAGTTGAGCTACAAATCCAGTCTCTTATCTAAAACTTGAGAACTTTCCAAATGTTGTGCAAGTAATATTGTATATATTCCAAATATGCATAGTATTGCTAATGAGGTGTGAAGGTCAAGTAAGATTTTGCCACAAAAGAATTATAAAACAAACTTACAGTTTGAGATTTGTGAGTTTAGGAATTGTGGCCTTGCACTTTTTAGTTCAGATGTAGGCTCTCCATTTGTCATCTTTTCTAAAAAGCAGGAATGAACTCTACTCATTGAGAGGTTAAGTGGTTGGCTGATAACCAAAAGGTTGGTGGTTCAAACCCACCCAGCATCTCCATGGGAAAACACCTGGCAATCTACTCCTGTGAAGATTACATCCTGCAAAACCTAATGAGGCAGTTCTACTCTCTCACATGGAGTCATTATGTGTCAAAAATTGACTGTCTAGCACCTAACAACAAGAAGTAGCTTTACTCATGTTCCTAGCTTCTTTATTCCTGTTTCCTCTTTGGGAAAAAAGCCAAATAATATCCATTTCATGGAGTTACTAGGAAGATACAGCAAATATAAAGTGGCTAAAAGTGCCTAGTAAATTGTTATTACTTTATAAATATTTACTCTGACCAAAATTGATTCAACCACAGTTATTATTTTATATTCTTCCTGTATCATGAGATTAGTAACTATTTTGACTTTGATTTTTCCCACTGCAGTCTTGTTTTTTGGAATAACATCATTTTCTCCAATGTTTACAGCAGTAAATGAGTTGCTTTTATATTAATTGGCTGAACTTTTGAAGGGATTGAAATGTAGGAGAAATGTAGCGTGTGGCTATTTATGTTTAATATTTCCCTAGGGGATGGAAAGAATAGCAACAATAATAACTAACACTCAGATGGCACTTGCTAAGTGAACAGTGCCAGGTCCTGTTCTAAGTGTTTTCCTTAGTGACTCACTTAATCCTAGAATTATCCCTCCTAAGTATTATTATTTTCCCCATTTTACACATGAGAAAAATGAGATAAAAAGCAATTAAGTAACATAGCCAAGACCACAGCTATTAAATGATAGAACTGTGATTTGAACCCAGTCTGTCTAGCTGAAGAGTTTATAATACAAATTAGCAAATCTTGTTAATTTTACTCAGAATCCCTGAATTATTATGCTTAACTCCAATTTTCTCTTCATTCCATTCCAAGTTGTTTCTATGTGAAGCTTCCTTAAGCCCTGCTCTGGTTACACTACATATGAAAATATTCTTGGAGCAATGTTTATCTCTTAAGCCTGATACTCGTGGTCTTAATGGTGTGAGCTGATCTTCCTTTGCATTCAGGGTCAGACTTTAGCCAAACTAGACCTTTGAATACCCTCCAAGAGCACTCTTCATTTTCTATTCCCTCAAAACCGAAAAACCAAACTCACTGCCGTCGAGTCACACCCGACTCATAGCGACCCTCCTTGGATTTCTGAGGCAGTATCAGTACGGAAGTAGATTGCCCAAGCTTCCTTCCAAGGAGTGGCTGATGGATTTGAACCACTAGCCTTCTGGTTAGCAGTCAAATGCCTTATGCACTACACCAACAGAAATTAGAAAATATTCTAAGCCATGGACCTCAATTGTTGGTACAGAAAATATGATTGTCATTTATATAACCCAACTGTTTTCTAAAATATTATGATGAGACTCTCAGAATAATAAAAATTTTCCAAAGAAAATAATGAGGACCGATGTTGAACACTCTGACCAGAAATCTGACTTGCACTTTATATGCACAACCATCGTTACTTTTTGTGTTCCTATGCCGCCTTCTGACCAAGGCCACCTGGAGATATGGATCCCAATCTTTCTGAGTGCCTCAAAGACCTTGTTCTATCAGTTACCAACACCTTGTTACGTTCCATTTCTCTTTCTCCAGCTAGCTCTTTCACCTTAATCCATCGGATCTTGTTCCTCCATTTCAGCAACATCCAGCAGCCTACTGTCTCACCCAGAATAAAATCTAAAGCCTTCACATCACCTAGGAAGCCCTTCATGATCTGACCACTATTCTTTCCAATCTCATCTCTGCCACCACCACCCTTCTTTATTTTACCCCAGCCATATTCATCCATTCATTCAACAGATATTTATTGAGCATGTGTTATGTGCCAGCAACTGTTTTAAGAGGTTGAGATATATGAGCAAAACAAAAATTGCTTCTCTCTTAGTACTTACATTCTAAAGTGGAAGACAAATAACAATAAACTAATAAATACATAAATTCTAGAAATATTTAAAGGTGATGAATGCTATGGAAAAAAGAAAACATAGAATAGAATTGGGTGGATTGGGAAGACCAGGCAGGAGTGGGAACAAGGGGTAGTATTGAACAGATGCATCAGGGTAAGCCTTGTTGACAGGGTGAGATTTGAGGAAGGACTTGAAGTAGTCAGCTAAGGAGATACCTCCAGGAATTGCTGAATGGGGTCAGAGATTATGGGTTTGATCTCACAGTATTCTCATAATTCTCTGAGATTACCATCATTAGTGATGTTTGGTACACTGGATATTTATATTGTCTGTTTTTTATACAGTGTATGAGAATATATTTGAGTACATTTCTAATAAACAGGAAATCGCCTACTCATTAATCAATTATCTTGTTATCCAACATTTTGCCTTTACAACAGCAGTAAAAAATCTACTATTTACCCATTTTCTGCATTAATAGCATTTTATCTGGCAGTAATGAACACCAAGGTGTGAGGCAAGAGTAACACTAGCTGTGATGGCTATGGTTATTTGTCAACTTGGCTGGGCCATGATTCTCAGTGGTTTGGCAGTTATGTAATGATGTAGTCATCCTCCATTTCACATAACACTGATTTTCACAAAACAACCTGGTAGTTGGGACCTGATCATGTAGCTGAGTGAGGAGTGGGTGTATTTAGAGAAAATATTTTAAGAGGAGAAAATGTTATGACCTCCATCCTCACTGAGTCTTTTCTCTTTCCTACATTGACAGTCATGTCTGATCCTTCCTAGTTTCCATCACCACAAGAACCTGTGAAGTTTGTTTCTTTCAGACTTCCCTTTTCACTTGATCTTCTGCCTCCTATGATGTGTCTCCTATGGTCTATGAAATGTAAAAAGTCCATTGCACATTGATAGCAGCATAATCTGTGGTGCACTTGATCTTCTGCCTGCTATGATGTGTCTCCTATGGTCTATCAAATGTAAAAAGTCCATTGCACATTGATAGCATAATCTGTGGTGCCAATTGATAGGTTTTTTTCACTGTCTACTTTTTTTTCTACATTGGTCATTCTGGTTATTCCTGCTTTAATTTATAGCAAGGAGTCTTAGAGGCAAGCAAAAGAACCCAACTCTAGCTGCTATTAAAAAAATAAAAATAAATTTTATTAAAATTTTTTTTCACTTTATTCACAGAACTAGTAGGGCTGAACAACCAGATTTTCTGGGTACACAGTCAGGACTAATGCTTCAGTCAGGCCACAGACCTGGTCTGGCAAGGACAACACTGCCACTAATGCTAAGCACATTGTGTCCATTGGCACAAGATGCTGAATGACACTGTGTCCCTAGGAACTTCATCCTGTAGAAACTGAGGTAGCTGCCAGGAAAATATTTTAGTCCCTATTTCTTTACATAACTAACTCTCCATTCAGAGTCTGGAGTTGGTATATCTGATTGGCAAAGTCTTATTTTTCTTATTTTTATAGTCATGTCCTAGTCTCAAGGGAGACAAAGAAAGCAAGAATCTGACATTTTCTGCTTCTAAAATGGGAGGCAACTTCTGTTGTAGGACTGATTTCAGATGTCATGTAGCCAGAATTGGATAAATATCAATATATGTTTATGTAAATAATGTAATATATATGTATATGAGTACATATAATAAATAAATTATTTTATGAATATAAATATGTTTTTACAAATATAACTATATGTATTTCATAAATATATACATTTAAATATATACATTTAAATATATACTTGTGTATACACATGTACTCTTTGTTTATTCCTAGATGAGGTAACCTATTGCTTACTGACTCCATGAAACCAGACCAAACAAAGCCACCTCACCTTTGTCATGAAACTTCAAACTTGCATGAAGATTGACAATTTAAAAACATACAATTATCAGAAACATCTCTGCACTAACCAAAAAAAAAACTAAACTCACTGCCATCAAGTTGATTCTGACTCATCACAACCCCTCCTTAGGATTCTGTGTCTCTACGGAAGTAGATTGCCCAGTCTTCCTTCTGAGGAATGGCTGGTGGGTTTGAACGGCCAGCCTTCTGGTTAGCAGTCAAATGCTTTTGGCACTATGCCACTAGAGCTCCCCCAAGATAAATGCTCATCCCCTTTATTCTGTTTATTTAAAACTCCAGATATAAGTTCAATCAAACTTTATTTTGTGTGGCTTGATAAGATAAGAGATTTTTCCCCTAAATTTCTTCCTCCTCCTGTAGTAGTTTTTCTGTTCTCAGTGTAGTGAATAATGTGGTCTTCACAGAACTGA